GCCTGGTAACAGTCTCTTTTCTGGTGACAGTTTCTTTTACTGAGCACCTACTATGTGCTGGACACTTTAAATGTGCAAACACATTTTTAAAAATAGTTTATTTATTTGCTTTTAGAGAGAAGGGAAGGGAAGGATAAAGAGGAGAGAAACATCGACATGTGAGAGAAACATTAATTGGTTGCCTCTCACATGCACCATGACTGGGAACTGAACCTGCAACCCAGGCATCTGCCCTGAATGGGAATCCAATCAGTGACCTTTCACTTTGTGGGATGAAGCCCAACTAACTGAGCCACACTGGTCAGGGCTGTACCAGCCCTTTTAATCATTGCAGCAACCCTATGAGATGATTGCTGTTGTTATGTCCCTTTTAAAGATGAGGCAATTGAGGTACAAAGAGGTTAAGCATGTCTTTTTTAAAAACTATATTTTATTGATTATGTTACTATAGTTGTCCTGATTTTCCCCCTTTCCATCCCCCTCCCTCCAGTACCCCCCACTCCCTGAGGCAATCCCCTCACCGTCGTTCATGCCCATGGGTCATGTGTATAGGTTCTTTGGCTACTCCATTTCCTATACTGTACTTTATGTCCCCATGGCTATTCTGTAACTACCTATTTGTACTTCTTAATCCTCTCGCCTCTTCACCATTCTCCCACACCCCCTTCCCATCTGGCAACTATCAAAACACTCTCTGTACCCATGATTCTATTTCTGTTCTTGTTTGCTTAGTTTGTTTTTTAGATTCAATGGTCGATATATTTGTATTTTTTTGCCATTTCATTATTTATAGTTCTGATCTTTTTCGTAAATAGAACCTTTTAACATTTCATGTAATAGTGACTTGGTGATGATGAGCTCCTTTAGTTTTTTCTTGTCTGGGAAGCTCTTTATGTGCTCTTTGATATCTTTGCTGGGTGGAGCAGTTTTGGCTGTAGGTCACTGCTTTCTGTGACTTTGAATATTTCTTGCCAGTCCCTTCTAGCCTGCAAAGTTTCTTTTGAGAAATCAGCTGACCGTCTTATGGGAACTCCACTGTAGGTAACTAACTACTTTTCTCTTGCTGCTTTTAAGGTTCTCTCTTTGTCTTTAACCTTTGGCATTATGATTGGTTTGGAGTGCACCTCTTTGCATCCATCTTGTTTGGGTCTCTATTACTTCCTGGACTTGCATGTCTATTTGTTTTTACCAAAATTAGGGAAGTTTTCTTTCATTATTTTTTCAGATTTCCAATGTCTTGCTCTTTCTCTTCTCCTTTTGTCATGCCTATGATATGAATGTTGAACCTCTTGAAGTTGTCCCAGAGGCTGCTTATACTGTTCTTATTCTGGGGGGTTCTTTTTTCTTCTTATTGTTCTGTTTGGGTTTTTTTTGGTTCCTTATGTTCCAAATCATTGATTTGATTCTTGGCTTCACCAACTCTACTGTTGTTTCCATGTAAATTGTTCTTTATTTCAAGTAGTGTATCTTTTGTTTCTGACTGGATCTCTTTTACGCTGTTGAGGTCCTCACTAAGTTCCTTGAGCATCCTTATAAACAGTATTTTGAACTCTGCATCTGATAGATTGTTTATCTCCATTTTGTTTACCTCTTTTCCTAGAGTTTTGATCTGTTCTTTTATTTGGGCCATGTTTCTTTGTCTCCTCACTTTGGCAGCCTCCCTGTGTTTGTTTCTGTGTATTAAGTACAGCTGCCTTGACTCTGTGTCTTGATAGTGTGGTCTAATGTAGCAGGTGTCCTGTAGGGTCCAGTGGCACAGCCTCCCCTACCACCCAAGCTGGGTACTTGAGATAGGTCCTTCATATGGGCTGAGTGCCTCCTCTTGTAGTTGAGCATTGGTTGCTGTTGGCAGATCAATGGGAGGGATTTACCCAGGATAATCAGCTACAAGGATTATCTGTGACCACTCACCACTAACCTCCACTCTCTGTGAAGAATCAGCTGTTCAGGGGCAGGGTGGTGGTGCTCCAAAGTGGTCTGTAGCTGTTCACTGGGTGTGCTGGCCCTGGGGTTTCCTGGGTGACACAGGCAAAGGTCAGCCCCACCTGTGTTTTGCCCAGTGCCACACTGCCTGAGCTATAAAGCAATCTGAGATGGCTGCTTCTTGTGCTGGGCTTGGAGATTCCCAGGTGAAGCCAAGCTGTGAATCTAAGCTGGCTACTGCTAGTGCTGGACCTGGGGTTCACTGAGGCCAGCTCCTGCTTGTTGGAGAGGGTTTAGGAAGTTGTGAAGCATGAGCCAAGCCCAGCCATTCATATAGAAAAGCAGCTCGAGTGAGCTGATAAGTTGAAGGGGGGGGTGGCGGTGGGGGCATTGGGGCAGAGTCTCTGGGGATTTCCAAGGTAGGTTAAACACTGTTAGCCAGGTTGGTGGAGTCTCAGATATGGCACCAAGTTGCCAGCTCTGCAGGGGTAGGATTTAGGAAAGTGACAATGGCCTCGGCTTGCCTTGAATCCAGTCACTTCATTTCCTCCCTGTATACCACTGGTGCTTTTCAAGGTGCTACTGCAGTGCTCAGAAGTGAGTCTGAGTAGGTGAGTCCATGTGTGCATTTTTTAAGAGGAACTGCTTCAGACTCCAGCAGGTTCTTCTACCAATTCAATCCCCACTGGTTTTTGCAGCCAGAAGTTATGGTGACTTATCTTCCTGGCACTGGAACCCTGGGCTCAGAGGCCTGGTATAGGCCAGGCCTGAATATTTCAGGAATATCCTGAGATATTCCTCCTAAATTTTTATCCACTAACCATCAGTGAGGGACCAGCTTGTTCTGCATCTGCACCCCTTCTACCAGTCTGGATGGATGTGGTTTCTTTAATTTCATAGTTGTCACACTGCCATTCAATTTGATTTCTGACAGTTCTGAGAGATGATTGTTCTATATTTTAGTTGTAATTTTGATGTGGTTGTGCAAAGAGATGAGCCATGTCTGCCTACACTGTCATCTTGACCAGAAGTTTGATCAAGAGGTTAAGCATCTTGCTCAAAATTATGCAGCTAATACATTGCAGAGCTGGGATTTGAGTCCACAGTTTAGCTTTAGGACCTGCATGCCTAATCACTGTGTGCTCTTGTGCTTCTTCACGGTAAGAATTCACATTAGACCCCTGAGATCAAATATCTTTTAATTGGGAATAAATGTTAACATTTGTCACTTTAAAACAATGCTCTTCAGTGGACTGAGCACAGGCCTGCAAACCAGAGTATCACGGTTTGATTCCCAGTCAGGGCACATGCCTGGGTTGCAGGCCAGTTCCCAGCAGGGGATGCATGAGAGGCAACCATACATTGGTATTTCTCTCCCACTCTTTCTCCTTCCCTTCCCCTCTCTCGAAAAATAAATAAATAAAATATTTAAAAAAAAAACAATGCTCTTAGTGCTAGTCATAGAATGTGGGTCTTCTGGTTATGCTAAGAATTGAGTTTCAGTAACACTTGTGCAATATACTCTGCAGTTCTGGAGAGGGACTTAAGATATATATGTACTTTTTCAAAATGTAGTATTTCAAGCAGGGCTTGAGCCATTCATGGTCTGGATTCATGATGCTAGCAGGTATCATAAAGTCAGTATATGGTCCTAGGGGTCTATGAACCAGGAAACACAAAGGGTGGGACAGACCCAGCACAGAAACAGTGGTAGGATGCTGAGCTTGGAGTGAGGTGTTACCTGGCTTCTGAATCCTCCTCAGACCCACTTTTTTTCTAGCAGCGGTCCTTTCAAGTAATGGGAAGCAACTCATTAAGCCTCCACTGAAGGAAGGAAGTTGAAATGGGAAAGAGAAGACTAGGATGAAAGTGAATTGGCAAAACACCTAAATTGATAGCAAATAGCAGGATGGGAGCAGCCACTGCAAGCCAGTGTATTAAAAAAAGGTCCCAAGAAGCCAAGCTGGATTTTCTTAAGGGCCAAACACTAAGCCCAGCCAACTGAGTAAATGCAGATATGTCAGTCAGGGCCATGCAGATTGGCAAGAGCAGCACTCTCTAGAGTCAGATCATGGTCAAGATGGCAGCTGACCCATTTGCTGGGTCTCAAGAGTGGCCACCACTCCTTGAAGTTGTAAAGAGTTTATTTCAGGATCAGCAGAAGGAATCTCCTGCTGGGAGCAATTTTATGGAGTTTGTTATCTCTCTTGTTCATAGCAGAGAATGAAAAAATCATTAAGGAAGGATTTAATGAGTTTTTGAAGAGTGAAGAGTAAAGGGGCTATGAAGGGGAGTTGGGGAGGCAAAGGAAAGCTGCCTAACCTCATGGAATTGCCACTGTGAAGCTCAGCAGCCTCCCTGACCCCTGGTGCCGCTGCATACTTAAATGAGCACAAATCATATTGCCAAGTGGCCCCCAGGGCTTCTGCTCAGGTTCCAGCATCCTGTACCCATGCATCATGCATTATGCGGCATCCCCAGAGATCTTGAACCCCTTACTGTAGCACAGAAACCTCGAATCACCAGCTCAGTCCACAAGCAAGGTGTTGTCTTGATCTAACCAGGGCTCTGGTGATGGGTTTTTGGCCCCTTTCCATGTGGTCAAACCATTGACCCTACTTAGAAAAGCAGGGAGGGAACCAGGGGTTTAGGGACACCTCCTTTGTATCAGACACTGAGCCATGTGTGTTAGCTACATTGGTTTCCTGAATCTTTACAAAAACCCTATGAGGGAGTAATCTGTTGTTCTTTTTATAAAAGAGGAAACTGAGGTTCAGAGAGGTTAAGTAATATGCCCAAGTTCACACTAGTGGAGGAGAGAGAGAGGGTTCAAGTACACATTTTTTCAGGTTCCAAAATCTGTACTCTGCACTCTACCCTAGCATCCTGAGCAGAAAAGAAGCTCTGCTCTTTCCCTGAACCAAGAAGCAAGGGCCACAATGTCTCCCAGCAGGACCCAGGACAAAATGTTCCCCACCAGAGGTCCTGCCCTGACCTCGGGCAAGTTATTTGACCTCTTTGAGCCTCAGTTTTTAATATGGATAAAGTGGAAACACTACGCTCTCTTCCCCTTGCAGGATTGTGAATATAAGATGAAAGCCAATGGGAAGAAGGACTTTGTCACTGCCAAGGATGCCTCTGGTGGTAGAACAATCAGCGTTAATCTGCCCAGTGAGTTCACTCTCCCCTGTCCCATTAGGTACCACTGGGATCTCTGGGAGAATGTTGACCCCCAAACATTTTGGGCTTGAACTGATGAAGATCTCACTATTCTGCCAAGAGGAGAGTCACTTACAATTCCTTTCAGATTCTGGTTTTTGTGGGGAAGAACAGGGAAAGCTCCATCTAAGAGGCCAAACTTTTTTTGTGCCAGCACAAGAAAGAAAGAAAGGAATTTTTTGACTGAAGGCCTGGACAGCCAGCCAAGCTCCAGGGAGGGCAGGTATGAGTCAGTCACCTGGAATGGGGACTGCTGTGCCAGAATCCCAGGCATTTCAAGTCGTTTCAGAATTGGATGGGTAGGAGGGCAGAGTTGACAAATTTGGGAGGAAATGATGGGTCTCTGTAGATACCTGGGAGGTTTTAGAGCCCTCCTCCCCCCACAGCTGTCCTGTTTGTCATCTCAGGGGGTGGGGAAGGGGTGTCACACTGAAACTGCCCCTCTTAAAACACTACCTGCTCTGAAGACCCTTTGCCCCTCTTCAGCACACCCTTTGCTATTACCTGCTTCTTAGGCCTATTCTCCACTGCCTGTCTGATCAACACCACCCTCCGCTGGGTACCTCAGAAACCTACCTGCTTTTCCTATGCTCTCCTCTACATCTGCTCTGCAAGCACCCAGGGAGGGGCTGCTATGTGCTAGACACTATGCTACAGGAAGGAGGAGGCAGGTAAATGAATCACTTGTTTAATCATGCCTTTCAATTTTCTGATGATTTGACATTTGACCTTGCTGACCTAATAGTAAACACTTTTCTGATTGGTGGTGATCTGAATCTGTGGCTTTAAAAATATTGTAAATATTTTTACAATGAAAAACATTTAATGGCATGTTATAATAAAACATGCCATTTGAAAAATCTACATTATTCAGTAAACCAATATTTTCCAAATGACCAAGACATGATGTTACATATTCATGCATGGATAAATGATTCAGCTAAAGTACCAATAGACCAGGAGATTTTAAGTAACAGAGTATGAAAAGTTCACTGGCATGGTTACAGGCTCTATATTTCAACTAACCTTTAAGAAACTATGTCTTCTTTAGTTTTGATGAAGTATCAAAAAAGAGTGTCCACCATGATCTTAAAGATTATTAAATACCCCCATATTTTCCAACCACAGCATTATGTGAGGCTGGGTTTTCTGCATATATATCAACCCAAACAACATATCCCAACAAATTTTGTGCAGAAGCAGATATGAGAGAGGAGGACTGGACCAAATGCGAGGGATAATGGCTGACAAAGGAGATCAGAGAGAGGGGTGAATGATCCCTGATGGACATAACAATGCAGGGGGCAGGTATGTTCTGACAGGCTGCAAGGAGAACCAGACAAAGCAGTCCCATGCTTAGGCTCCTTTGCCTGCCAGGTCCTTGGATGGAGGCATTAGAGATTAGTGGGGATACTGCACTCTAAGCTGGCCATTTTGCTGACAAGGCCACTCAGAAAACCATAGTTCCATAGACCTTTCTTAGGAAATATCCCCAAGAATCTCTGATGTCGCATCATTCTTAACTCAATGGCTCCCCAGTATTTGTAGCTTTCAGGCTCATCTTCATTCATCAGTCACCACTCATACACTCAGTAATTAATTTTAAAAAGTGCATATTGAGTGCATTTAATATGCCAGGTACATACTAGGTACAAGGATTAAAATAGCACAGCCGTTCTCCAAGTGTGGTCCCCAGACCAGCAGTATCAGCCTCATCTGGCATATTGATTTATCTATGACTACCTGACAAATCCCCCAAAACTTAGTAGCCAAAAACAACAATAACCACTTACGATTTCTCATAGTTTCTGTAGGTTCTGGATTAAGATCTATCATAAAACAGAAGTCAAGGAGTTCCAGCTAAGATGGAGGCATAGGTAGAAACCCTTCACTTCCTCATACAACCAAAAAGAGGATATCAACCAATCTAAAATTAATAAACAACCAAAATCACCAGAAAATCAAACTGCATGGAACTCCAACAACCAAGGAATTAAAGAAAAAATCAACCAGAACAACCAGACTGGTAGCACCACAGAGCAGCAAAATGGGTTGCCCTGCCCTGGTGAATAGCTAAAGCCCCACCCCCTTACAACCTATCAGCTGCACCAAGAAAAAGAAATATGGCCCAAATGAAAGAACACAGAAAAACCCCAGAAAGAGAACTAAGCGATGAGGAGATTGCCAATGTATCTGATGGAGAATTTAAAGCCCTGGTGATCAAAATGCTCGCAGAACTGATTGAGCTTGGTAAAAATTAAAGAAAAAATGAAAGATACCCAAAATGAAATTAAAGCAAAATATTCAGGGAACAACAGTGACAAGAAGGAAACCAGGACTCAAAGCAACAATTTGGAACAAAAGGAAGAAATAAACATCCACCTGGATCAGAACGAAGAAACAAGAATCCAAAAAAATAAAGAGAGGCTGAGGACTCTCCAAGACAACCTGAAATGTTCCAACATTTGAATTACAGGGATGCCAGAAGGAGAAGAACAGCAGCAAGAAATTGATAACTTATTTGAGCAAATAATGAAGGAAAACTTCTCCAATCTGGCAAAGGAAATAGATTCTGCATGGAATCCCATGCAGGAAGTCCAGGAAGCCCAGAGAGTCCCAAAGAAGTTGGACCCAAAGAGGAACACATCAAGGCACGTTATCTTAAATTACCCAAGATTAAAGACAAAGAGAAAATCATAAAAGCAGCAAGAGATAAGGAGATAGTTACCTACAAAGGAGTTTTCATAAGGCTATCAGCTGATTTCTCAAAAGAAACCTTACAGGCAAGAAGGGGCTGGAAAGAAGTATTTGAAGTCATGAAAGATAAGAAACTACATCCAAGATTACTCTATCCAGCAAAGCTTTCATTTAGAATCGAAGGGCAAATAAAGTGCTTCCCAGATAAGGTCAAGTTAAAAGAATTCATCATCACCAAGCCCTTATTATATGAAATGTTACAGGGACTTATCTAAGAAAAAGAAGATAAAAATATAAACAATAAAATGACAACAAACTCACAATTATCAACAAATAAACCTAAAAGAAAAGGAAAACAAAAACTAAGCAAACAGAACAGGAATAGAATCAGAGAAATGGACATCACACAGAGGGAGTTCAGTAGGGAGGGAGAAGAGAGGAATGGGGAAAAAAGGTACAGAGAGGAGGAAGAAGCATAATTAGTTGGCATGAAATAGATGGGGAGAGATAAAAAATGCCATAGGAAAGAAGACTTGAAGAGCTTATATGTACAACCTATGGACATGAACTAAGTGGTGGGGGGTGGGGAATGCTGGAGGGTTGCTGGGGCAGCGTGAAGGGGGATAAAGAGAAAAAAATTGGGAAAACTGTAATAGCATAATCAATACAAAGTACTTAAGAAAAATAAAGTAGAAGTCAAAATATTTGGCTAAAGCTGCAGTCATCTGAAGTCTTGATTAGAACTGGAAGATTTGTTTCCAAGGTAGCCTGGTCACATGGCCAGCAAGCTGGTGCTGGTGTATTGGTGGGAACCTCTGTTCTAACCTTTGTGCATCTCTCCACAACACTGCTTGACTGTTTTCAGAGCATGGCACCGAATTCCTGAGTGAAAATCCAAGGGCATAAATGGCAACCTGCAATTTCTTTCATAACTATCACTTCCAAAGTCCCCTATTGATCACACAAGTTATCTCTACTCCATGTGGAATGAAACTCCAAAAGAGATGAACAGGAAGTAAGAATCACTGGGACCATTTGTAAGATTGGGAAATTACCAGACCTATGGGAATGTCTCAGGCCTAACCCAAGACCTCCTGAGTTGGATACTGTGGGTGGGGTGCCCTACAGTTGGTGTTTTAATGAGCCCTCCCAGTGATTCTGATGCACAAAGCCTGGGAACCATTGCAAGGATGTATGGAATAGTCCCTACCCTCAAGGTGCTCATGGCCTAGCATAAATGACAAAGCCATCACAAAACTGCTGTAACAAACGCAGGGGAGAGGTCAGGGGTGTTTCCTAGCCTGGCGTTTAAGATCTGCTAAACCTCAGTTCCTCTGACACCTTCTTTCATTCATTTCTCTCCTACTTGGACCCTGTGTTGGTTTGGTCTGTTTCCCTACATTGTGCTCATTCTGTCTTTTATGCAATGAGCTGTTATGGCTGTGACAGCAGCTGGCATGGTGCCTGACACATAATAGTTGCTCAATAAATGTGCCCTTGCTTCCATTTCCCATGTTCTGGATTTCACCTTTAGAAGAACCAGATCCTTCATCTTACCAAATTCTAACCTTTCTTCAGGGTCTAATGAAGGGCTCCACTCTCATGCAGCATCTCAGGCTCCTTCATGTCTAGTTTTTCCCTTCCCTGAATATCTGAGCACTAGCTCACATAGTCTAACCCTTGATTCCACTGATGAATTTGTCCTGTATTTTTCCCTTGAGAGTCTCCATTTGTAACAATCTTTGTAGTTCTTATCACTATCTGAAATTTCCTGGTTTATTATTGTTTTCTTGCCACTTTCTATCACCATTTACCAATGCTGCAGCCCTTACCTCCACCAATAGGCTTAACTCGCCATTCTTCCACCCAGGGCTGCTGTGAGAGAAACCTTTCAAGGTCAAATGCCTCTAAGTTGGTTTCTTGCCTAATTAGTGCCTACTATGTGCATGGTGCCACAGTAGGTCCTGGAGTATGGGAGAGAGTTCCCTTTAAATGCTGTGAGCCTTCACAACTGAGGGCAGGCACCTCATGCACCAAATTTCCAGCTTCTCCATCTCCCAACAGGGCAGTCCTGGGCAAGGCCTCCTCACTGATTTGAACTTTCATTTTCAAAAGCATCATAAACACCTAAGCAAAGAATGGCTATGACAGAATTAAACAATAAAATTATCAAGGAAATGAATGCTAATGCTTAAGAAGTATTTAACATTTATTAAATGCTTATGACACATTGAAATCTGGTCGCTGGATGTAAA